AATGGTATGTGACATGTAGTGGAATTTGGAGATAAAGGAATTCCCACATTATTTCTTCCCTTGTCCTTCTTGGTGATAAAAATTACAAAAAATAGTAAATGTATTGGAGTGCATAATGTTAGTGAATTGCTACAAAGCTTCCTTTGCATAGAACATTGTGCCATTCCAGCTATGATGAAGGAGATGAATGTTGAGTAAAGTGGCAGGGGTGCTAAACAAGTTATGTACTCTGCTATGCTTCCTCAATGTTATTGCAGGTATGTCTATCCAGATAAGTGATTAGGTTCCATCATGCTTCTGACTTGTCTCTTGTCAATGGTTAAAATGTTTTAAATGATGAGGCAGTGAGCAAGTCATTAATGATTACCCACTTTCTTTTTTCCCTTTTGATATAAAGGACATGTCCTGTTCAGTTTCTGGATAGAGCTATAATGTTGGCAATTTCATGATGTTGATTCTCTTTAAAATCAAAGGGTTGGTCTTGGACCTTGTCAGAAATGGTCATTGCCTGGCACTTTTAAAGTGTAAATGTAACCTGTCATTTCACAGGTAAAACTTGAAACATGTGGATTTTCCAATACCTTTCTTTGATGCAAATCTCCGGGATTTTGCCCGATATTTTGAAATCATTAAGATTTTGGAGTAGATTTGTAGCTCGGGTTGTGGTATTGAAGTTGGTTGGCTCGTCAAGCTGGTTTCTTGTTTGGCAGATGTTTCGTTACCATGCTTGGTAACATCCTCAGTGCAGCCTCTGATGAAGCGTTGGTGTGTTCTCCCGCCTGGTTTTTAAACTCTGGGGTCCATTGAGGTGGATTGCCTCACTTCCGGTTTTCCTACGTAGTGGAATGTATATGGGGTCGAGTTCAATATGTTTATTAATAGCATGCTTCGTGAAGTGCCAGGCTTCTAGGAATTCTCGTGCCTGTCTCTGCCTAGCTTGTCCCGGGATTTTGGTGTTGTCCCAGTCGAAATGGTGGTTCTCCTTGTGCATGTGGATTGAGATGAGTGAGTACTGGTCATGTCTTTTTGTAGCCAGTTGGTGTTCATGTACTCTTGTTGTTAGTTTCCTTCCTGTTTGTCCGATGTAGTGTTTCTCACAGTCACTGCAGGGGATCTTGTAGATGACATCTTGTAGATATCCAAGGCAGGGAGTGGGTCTTTAGTTCGGGTGAGCAGCTGTCGTAGGGTTGACGTGGGTTTGTGTGCCACTCTGATGCCCAGCGGTCGTAGGAGTTTTGTGGTGAGTTCACGATGCCTACACGAACAACATCAGAAAGATACTACACGCCCCGACACACTCATCACACTACCTTACATCAGGAACACGTCGGAACTCACCACAAGACTCCTACGACCCCATATACATTCCACTACGTAGGAAAACCGGAAGTGAGGCAATCCATCTCAACAGACCCCAGAGTTTAAAAACCAGGCGGGAGAACACACCGATGCTTCATCAGAGGCTGCACTGAGGATGTTACGCAGCATGGTAACGAAACGTCTGCAGAACAACAAACCAGCTGGGCGAGCCAACCAACCTCAATATTAGTAGGTATTACAAGTAGTTATCTCTAGATAGCCTAAATGTCTGTATGTTTTAATAGTTTGAAATGGACCTAGTTTTGCAAATTCCAGTAAAATGTATAACAACTTTAAACACCTTATATTTGCATGAATTTTACACCAAATCTTTCAGTTGTAAATCTTATGTTCACTTTTCTAATTAAGCTCCCCAACAAAACTTCTTGTAATTATACCCTCCCCGCCATACCTTTGTATCATGTTTAAAGGTTCCACAACCTGTACTTTAGAGAAATGCATGTGCACTGAACAATTCTTCATCTACTGTCCAAATTCTGTTTGCTACTTAGTTATAAATAATATAATAAAATTTACAATTATAAAATTTTATAGAAAAATATATACAAAATGGTTAGCTTAAAGGTGGAACTGAGCTTAAGGTGTGTGGCTTAGCCTAATAATCTACTGTCCTCTCATCCTGATGCACCTGAAGTATGCATTTGGTCCTGTCTCCACATGTGAAATTCCACAGTAGATCAATTATATACTTTAAATATCATGATCAAAAACAAACATCAGTGCCAACATATGGTTTACTGCAAACTTGCACTTAATGGGAGCATTCTCCCTTCACTTACTTCTATTTTAATTTTTAAAATTAAACTTACATTTGTCATCTTTTCAAATATACCTATGTCTACTATTGGCTGATCTTAAAATATGTTTTGTGTATGCTCTTTGTATGAAGCATTATATGGAGGTCCTGTCTGCTGTCTCAGGTATGTGAAAAAGATCCTATGATATATTCAAAGAAGAGCTCTCCTAGCACCTTGGCCAATAATTATCCATCAACACAAAAGGGAATCTTGCTGTGTGAAAGTTCGCTGTTGTACTTCCCTATTCTATAAGTGTGACTGCACCTCATGGAAAAGCACTATATAATTGCAGGGCTTCGTTTTACAGTCTTACAGAACTTTCATTTTTTGCATGCAGTCAGACAAATTATTCAGATGTCTTATTTTTAAATTCGAGGCTGTTGAGGAACCTCAACAGGGCAGAAAGCTACTTGTATCTAAAATAACCTGAAAAAAGCATACAATTCATAGGTTATAGATGATATTTCAATACCCAAATCTGCACAGGGTCCTGACTAGTGGACAATGCTTCCTCTTTCTACATCACAAAGATTCTTATTTACCTCATATTTGTAGAAATGATATTCATTTACTTTGGAGACCGAACATTAACAGTCTTAATTAAATATAATTACTTACAAGGCATAGTAAAAGAAGACATAGGAACAGTAATAGGCCATTCAACCTCTTATCTCTGTTTCACAATTCAATGGCTGATCTGTGGCCTAACTCCATCCATCTGCTTTTGGCCCATATCCTTAATACCTTTACCTAACAAGGAATTATCAATCTCAGATTTAAAATTAACAACCGATCCAGTATGCACTGCTATTTGTGGAAGAGAGCTTCAGATATCTACCACCCTTTATGTACAGAAGTACCTCCTAACATTTCTCTTGAGTGGTCTGGCCCTAATTCTAAGACTTTGCCCTTTAGTTCTAGAATTCCTAAGCAGTGGAAATAGTTTATCTAGACTACCTTTTTCTTCAAATATCTTGAAGACTTTGATCAGATCATCACTTAACCTTCTAAATTCTAGAGAAAACATGCCTAGTTTGTGTAATGTCTCCTCATAGCTTGAACCCTGAAGCCCAAGTATCATTCTTATAAACCTATGTTGTACTGCCTCCAAAGCGAATGTATTCTTCCAAAAGTGTGGCACCTAGATCTGCTCTTACTACTCCAAATGGGGTTTAACCAGGGTTTTGTCTAACTGCAGCTTAATTTCTGCATCCTTGTTCTCCACTCTCCTAGATATAAAAGCCATTGGATTTCTTGATTGATTTCTGTATCTGTTCATGGCATTTCAAAGATGTATGCAACTGAACCACCAAGTCTCTTTGGACATTGACATGTACTGTGGAAGCCTTGCTGACACTGTCTAGTTTTAAGTGATCCCATCTCATTATGACATAGCTCCTTTAGCACATGCTCAATAGTTATCCTTAGATTGAAGGTATAATTAGCCCTTTAGTATGAGACAAATTTTATGCTTTGTTATCATGGTTTGTGCCAAGTAATTCTGGTAGAATTTAACTAGAGCTTACAAAGCAAGGGTGACTTGCACTTTATGGAAATCCTTCAGTATATTGAAATGCTTTTTCAGGAGACACAGGGCAACAGTGGGAGAATGGGTAAAATATCATAAACCAAAAAAAAAATTCCATTAGCAACACTTGTGTTCTCAGTCCCTTTGGTTATTATGCTCATACCTGAAATATAAAGGGCACTGTTGACGTTTGAAGAGCCTGTCTTATTGATGGGGCCCTGCAGTAGTGATCCTGACACTAGGTGGTATGATTATTAGTTTGGAAACTCTACATGATGATAGATTTCATCATATCAGGATGAATTTGCACAGTTTAGGTGCAATATAGCTGTTATAATGCAAATCCAGAGCAGTGCTGCCCTTAAGGATGAAGCAAGGAAGTGAGACCATATATCACTTGGCTTCATAGTAATGTTGGACTGTCACTGGGCACAAACACAAACTGTAGCGTTGGTGAAATATGAAATTGGCAATAACAAATTCTATTGTTGCGGTTATAGTACTAGATTGCACATATTTAAACACAAAGCTACATAATCCAGAATAAAAGATTAGATTTCTAAAGTTAAGTATGTGGTATTTGTCTTGGTTTATTACAAGATTTCTTTCCTAATGTCTATTTAAAAATCGTCCTGAGTTGGGACTTGAACCCAAATGTACAGAAACTACCACTGTACCTGAATATAACTATTTATTTGATTACAACATAAGCACTTCTAAATGGAACAAATGATCTTTCCCTATCTTACATTCCAAACACTAAAGAGAGAAATCGTTACTTTTAATTAATGTTAAAAAGCTGACAGAATTTGTTACATGCCCCTAATGATGAGAATGTACACGATCATTTTTTGAGGTGAGGTAGGTATAAGCTTTGGTGTTTGTACAAATATATTTTTCACGTTAGCTCACACTTTTACAACCTCATTTTGCAGAACACCCAAAATGCAGCCAGTCTCGCAACACAACCAGTGAATATAATTCATTTGGGAGATAAGCAGAATATTGCAGCCTGTTTGCAATGACTTTTCGCAGGCTATAAATGACCGTATCGTGTTCGATAAAACTTATGTCGAAGATTTTTTTTGTTTCACTTGCTTTAATTGAAACGTTAGTTTCGGAGATGTAATGATGTATCTATTTGAAACTTAAAATGAAAAATCCGCCCATTAAGAGTAGGTTTTCGATCCACTGAGTACGAGACCAGCGAGGGACGAAAGTCACTAAGCGGCAGCCTGTCGGGAGCGCGCTCCGCGTCCCTGGCATGGCGGAGGCGCGCAGTGCTCGCCCTCTTAGCCAGTCAGGTTGTGGTGGACACGGAACGGCACGAAGCCCAGAGCGGAGCGCATCACTGAGAGTACACCGCGGCAACGAGGGTCAGAAAGACACACTGAAGGGGAAGCCTTCAGGATGGGCTGCTCCACGACATTGGTGCGTCTGGCGAGCCTCTTACTGACAGTGAAACTTTTCATTCTACTGAGTGGAGCTACACAACCTGAGGGGAGCCTCAACATGTGGATAGATGCTCACCAAGCCAGAATTTTGATAGGTGAGCAGAGTTACTTTCTAGTACCTAGCGGGTAGCATTCGGAAACATTTCCTCCACCTAAAGTGGGAGAGTAGGGGTTTCTGCCTTTTATTTTATATTTACGGTAATTCAATTGGAAACCGCACTTGGTGAGTACTGTATTTGGCAGCGCTTAGTGTTGTGTGCGGGCGGTCCTAGCAAGCAGGTCTGGGTATGAAGTTAACCACTGAAATGTTGAGTGAACAGTTATGCCACATGAGATGTTTTTTCTCTCTCTGTTGCACACCCAATGTCTCAGGGGCTCTCTCTGAAGTTTAACTTAGCCTTCTTTACACATATTGTCATGTTTAAACTCTTCCAAGTTGGTTTCCACTTCTGCCATAGTATTGAAGTGGCTCATATCCAAGTCACAAATGATATCTTATGGCACTGTGGCAAAAGCAAAATTTGCCTGTCTGACCTCGACCTATCTGCAGCCTTTGACACAATTCATCATACTCCTCCCATGCCTTTCTACTCACTGTAGCTGGGAGGAACCATTCTCATGTGGCTTCCATTCTCATTCTTGTAATCATAGCCAGAAAATCAGTTGCAGTGTTCTCTTTTCCTCACTGTTACCTCTGGTGCCCTCCAAGGATCAAGCCTTTCCGCCTCCTATTCCTCACCCACGTGCTGTGCATTAACAATGCCACAGAAACATAAAAGATAGTAGCAGGAGGAGGCCATTTGGCCCTTTGAGCCTGCTCAACCATTTTTCACAATCATGGCTGATTGTCCAACCCAATAGCCTAATCCTGCTTTCTCCCCAGAACCTTTGATCCCATTTGTCCCAAGTGCTATATCTAGTCGCCTCTTGAATACATTCAATGTTTTGGCATCAACTACTTCCTGTGGTAACGAACTCCACAGGGTCACCACTCTTTGGCTGAAGAAATGTTTCCTCATCTCCATCTACTCCGGATCCTCATACTGTGATCCCTGGTTCTGGAAACACCCACCATTGGGTGTTTCTCCCTGCATCTACCCTGTACAGTCCTGTTAGCCTTGCATAAGTCTCTATGGGACACCACCCCTCCCCCCCCACATTAATCTGAACTCGAGCAAAAACAATCCCAACCTAGTCAATTTCTCCTCATACATCAGACCTGCCATCCCCAGACTCAGCCTGGTAAATCTTCACTGCACTCCCTCAAGAGCAAGAGCATCCTTCGTCAGAAAAGGAGACCAAAATTGCACACAATATTCCAGTTGTGGTCTCACCAAGGCCTTGTACAACTGCAACAACACATTCCTGCTCCTGTACGTGAAACCTCTCGCAATGAAGGCCAACATACCATTTGCCTTCTTTACTGCCTGCTGCTCCTGCATGCTTACCTTCAGTGACTGGTGCACAAGGACACCCAGTCCCGCTGTACATTCCCCTCTCCCAATTTACAGCTATTCAGGTAGTAATCTGCTGCCTTGTTTTTGCTTCTGAAGGTAATTACCTCACATTTATCCAAATTATACTGCATCTACCATTGATTTGCCCATTCACCCAACCTGTTGAGATCATGCTGAAGGATCTCTGCATCCTCGTCCCAGTTCACCCTCCCACCCAACTTGGTATCATCTGCAAACTTCTCCAGCCTGAATTTCCACATCTATACTGCCAATCAGCTTTACCTTCCCATCACCTCCCACAACTCCTCCACTGTTGACAAGCTATCAGACTGCTAATTCAATAACTACATGAGCAGAAATTTCCTCCAGTTAGACTTTGGCAAGACTGAAGCCATTGCTTTTGGTCCAAACTCCATTACCTAATTACTGAGTCCACCCCTTTCCCAAATGACAGTCTGAGATTAAGGCAGCCAGGTTGCAACCTTAGGGTTGTATTTGATCCTGATATGAGCTTCTGATCTCATTCATACCAGTTCTAAGACTGCTTGTTTCCATCTCTGTAACATCACTCAGCTTCATCCTTGTCTCAGTTCACTTGCTGAAAGCCTCATCTCTCATTTATCACTGTTGGACTCAACAACTCCAACACACTCCTGGCTGGTGTCCCACTTCCTGACTTCTATAAACTCTGTTCCTATCTTAACTTGAAGCAAGTCCTATTCCTCTATCATCCCTGTGCTTGCTAATCTACGATGGCTGTCAGTCAAAAAATCATCTTGAATAATTAAAATTCTCATCTTTGTTTTCAAACCCTTTGCCGCTCCCCATCTCTGTGTTCTTCTTCTGCCACAGCACTATTGAGATATTTGTGTCACTCCAATTCTGGCCTTTTGTGCATGCCCCATTATAATTACTCAACCATGGTGACTTTGCCTTTGTTACCAGGCCCTAAGCTATGGGATTCTCTCCTAGAAGCCTTGCATGGCCTCCTTTAGGATCTCTTTAAAATCTACTTCTTTTAGCAAGCTTTAGGTCCTCTGACTTGCTATCTCTTTATGTAGCTCAAAGTCATGCTTTGATTTGTAATGCTGCAGCGAAGCACATTGGGATATTTCTTTAAATTAACAGCGCTACATAATTAAAGTTGGAGCCCACCTCCCCTGCAGTAACTTTGCACATCATGTCAGATGAACTCAACCATGTTTTTTTTTACCAACAATGCAACAAAATCAGTTTGAGGTAAATTGTACGTTTAGGTATCAATCTTGAATGACAAGAATGAACACATGATATCCAAAAATGTTTGAATGAATGGGCATCAATGAGCTGAAACCTTCTGAATGATTTGTATTCACATTGGTTTTATGAAACTGCTATGGCTTTTCAGAGTACTTCAGAATGTAAATGCACACTTTAGATGCTGCTTAAGGATCTAGGAAATGGTAATTTTTCAATTGAAAAAAATGTGAAATGTATTAAGCTTGTAATGTACATTTGACATTTTCCTATTCAGATGTTTTGCCAAAAGAACAAATAAAGCTGGTGCTATAATGTTGGGTCTGAATGGTTATTCTGAAATCACCACCTTTCAGGTTTTGAAGAGGATATCCTTATCGTTTCTGATGGTAAAATGGCTCCATTCACTCATGATTTCAGGAAAGCCCAACAGAGAATGCCAGCGATCCCAGTCAACATCCAGGCCATTAATTTTACCTGGCAGGCAACAGGACAGGTAAATATAGGAGCCAACATTATTTCATAACGTGTTGACTTAATTCTAACTGACAGTTTTGCCTGCACACTTTGAACTTCTGGGGATGGTAACTTTAATAATCTCTAATTTAACCTGTTGCATGCTTTGAAAATTATTTTTAAATTATGAAATAATACAATTTTAAAAATTTGAAAATCCTACAGTAAGTATGCATTTTCATTGTGTTTCTTAACAGAATAAACTTAAATCACCAGCAAAATGGTACAGCACAATCTCACTGTCAGTTAACATTGTTTCATCTCTGCTTGACTTTGGGAAAATTTGGGTGTAATTTTTTTTGGGCAGTTGAAAGCACAACTAAAGGATCTTTAACACTAGGTTGTATCTAGATGATGACCCTGTTTCTGCAAAATGAAAACTGTACCCTTAGAAATTTTGTTTCAGTAATTTTACTAACTTGGTTAGTCATTGCAAGAAAAAAAATCAGAAGTTTAAAAAACCCATAAATTGTAAATAAATATTTATCTCAAATAATGAATGATTGAGGGTATAAAAAATGATTATATATGAACAATGTCAATTTGTCTGACAGGTATAAATAATTTTTATGAAAAATGATTGATTTCAATGTTATATTTTTCTTTCTTGTTTACCATTCGCATTGCCCAAAATATGATCAGTCATGTAACTATCATTTCAAGCCCTTCTCTGCACCCTACCTCCTCCATAGTAGCTTGTCCTTTCAGCTGTAATGTCACCAAACATAAGAAATACCTTGTTTGTGGTCTCCATCTAGTGCAGCTTGAATGTGGATGTGAATTTTGCCTATAGCTTGTAAGCTTTGTTTTACAGAAAGTGGTTCTTGTTGAAAATGAACTCCTTTTGAAGTCTTAATATTTTTATCATGTTCCACTGTGGTATTTTGCATCCCAGTGTCGTGCATGCCAACCAAGATTAAAGCAACGGGCCTAGGAGATACCCCTTTATTCAGTGCAATATGCATGTGGCAACCATCTGTTCCATCTACTAACAGAAAATAACAGTGATAAACTTCTCAGACTTCTGCCAAAGTAAGAGTTTATTGCCTACAGAAGAAGGTTTGATAGTTATCTTGTGGCCTACATCTGGTTTCACTGGAACTGTACATCACACAGATACAAACTTGGTGTTTATGTGGCAAACATCATAACTGGGTTATAGGCTATCAAACAGAAAACATGCTCTCTAAAGGAAAGGAAAGGAAAATGTAATGAACTATTAGAATTCAGGTTAAGTACAACCTTTCTATTTTTGTGGCAGTAGAGGCATTATGACATTGTCTCAGCTTAATGTTCGAAAGATGGGACTGATTTTATTTAGGATGGAGGTTAAGAAATAATAACATATGTGTTTTATTATTTCCAGGTAATCACTTAATTATTGGTTGACTTAATTACAGCACAACCATTATTTCTTCAGTCTAGACACATGCATGAATGACATGAGGCGAGGTTGGTTATTAGCATTTACCGTATTGGCACTACTGGAAATAGGATCAAAAACAAAGTAGTACACACTAGAACACACCCATTATGTACAAATATATCGTGGTAGTAACTTTTTTTTTTCTTCATTCATGGAATGAGGGTGTTGCTGGCTAGGCAGCATTTATTGCTCATCCCTAATTGCTCAGAGAGCAGTTAAAAATCAGCCACATTGTTGTGGGTCTGGAGTCACATGTTGGCCAGATCAGGTAAGGATGGTACTTTCCTTCCCTAAAGGAAATTGGTGCACCAGGTGGAGTTTTTTTGACAATCGATTCATAATCATCATTAGATTCTTAATTCCAGAGTTTCTTCTCATAGAATTTGAATTCTACTGTCTGGCGTGGCAGGATTTGAACCCAGGTCCCCAGAACATTGCCTGGGACGCTGGATTAACAGTCCAGATCACTAGGCCATCACCTCCCCTATGAATATAAAATTGTATAATCTCTTCAAGTTAATAGTTGTAAATTGGTTGTAAATTCCTTAATGATGTTGCTTTCTTGTCATTACACTCCAGTATTCACTAGCTTCTGTTTCAAACTTAAACCTGTATAGTTTTATCTGCTACCTGCTATATTGATAGATTGAGCATATTCAAAGTTGAACAAAATTAGTTGTACTTTGTTAAATATTATTAATAAGTGTTACATCTAGAGTTTTAAATTTACTGAACAGTTATACAATAGTAAAATCACTCTTAATATTTAGTTAATCAGGCAGCAGTGTTAATTATTTTTGAATTCTGTTTTACAGTTATTGACCATGAAGTAAATACCGCCATAGTTTTAAGTGTTGGTCTTGAAATAAAGTTTCTATTCCATCTTATGTTTACTTTAGCAGGAGTTACCCAAAAAACTGCTTTCAGTTTCAAAATTAAAACTATGAATAACCTACAACAAGAAATGCTGCTCCTTTAACTTTCTAACTAATTTGAGGTAGTTCAATATTATAACCTGATAGTTAAAGTCCATTGATGCTGTACAGTTTTTGACTGGGTTCTGAGATTTCATGCAATTGCTCAAGGAATATTTAAAGGACCCAAGTATCCTGGGTCATTAATTTTACCAAGGAAGGAAGTAACCCATGGCTTTACCTTTGATCCGATGCAGCTTTAGTAAAGAAAGAGAGTACGCTGAGATTAGAGGTAGCCTATTATCTTTTAGGAGTTTCATGGTCTAACTATTCACTGGGAACAAATTAGGATTTGATGCCTGTATTCTGCTTTACTAAAATGCATTTTATTAATGATGTGTTTAATTCTTTCAGATTAACAAATCTGCACCCATTCAAAACTTGCTAATTAATTTCTTTTTAGTCTTTTAGACAAAATTTACAAATGACAGTTTATTGTTCTAATTTATCATTATCAGAATGGCTGATGGTAGTAATGCATATTAGGAAGATATCATCTTGAACTTCAAAGCTATCTTTCCAGGCTGAACAACAAAGACTTTGAGACATGAAGCATAGCATACTTAAACCTCATGGTTTATCCCTGATGATTACTATTCAACGGCTGGATTAACCTTTCCACATAATGTGAATTTTCTCTTGTGATAGCTTCATGTGGCTCATTAGGATAGAAGAATGAGTGATTTTAGAAAGGTTACTGAGGAGGTTTGCCAAGATGTTAAGAGTGATGAGGGACTTCATTTATGCAAACAGTTGGGAAAACTTAGGACTTGTACTCTTTGGGACGCAGAAGGTTAAGAGGTGACCTAGCTCGGATTTTTAAGATAATCAGAAGTTTTGATAAAATAAGTGGAGAGAAAAAATATTCCCTGTGGTGAGTGGGTCAGTAACTAGAGGTAACAAGGTGTAGAGCTGGATGAACACAGCAGGCCAAGCAGCATCAGAGGAGCAGGAAGGCTGACGTTTCAGGCCTAGAAACTTCACATTTCTTAACATCACCTGGTGAAATTGATTGGGGAAAACAAATGATCTAGATCAGGCTATAACTATTAGAGCAAGCTGTTTCTAATTCTAGGGATTAACTTCCTATTGGGAAGTTGAGTTTGTTTTTCATCGAAAGTTATGAGGATCTGAGTGCTTTACCTAAGCATGCAGTGCAATATGATTCCATAAATAACTTTAAAAATTGTAGAATATATTCAAGGATGAGAAACTTGCAGGGTTAAGAGTCAAAGCATGGCTGATCTTTCAAGGTGCCTTCATGGGTACTGCTGGCTGAATGGCAGCCTCATTTTCTCTAAGTTTCCATGATTTTTACAAAACGTTTTTGGTCATTAATTTCAGTCATCTGGCAGAGCAGAATTCATGGCATCATTACAGTAGAAAGATACAGATCAGGCTTTTAATCAGGACTCATTTTGGCACACGACAATAATTAAAATTTCCAGAATATTACTTGGGACGTATAAACAAAATCAGATAAACGTGGTTTAAGTTTAGTGGTAAGTGTTGACTGTTTCCATAACCAAATATAGAGACACTGCAGCTATGCACATTTCTTAACGTCACCTGGTGAAACTGATTGGGGAAAACAAATGATCTAGATCAGACTATAACTATTAGACCAAGCTGTTTCTAATTCTAGGGATTAAACATCAGTATGTTCCTATCTGTCCTTTAGATTTACACAAAGCCAAAGGGAATCATAATTGTATCTTATTCTTTTTTCCATAAATAGAAATTAAGCCTAAGCATCAAAACTTTGAACTCATGCCATTTTTGCTCTCAGTTGTTTAAAAAAAAACCCTGAATTCCTGCTCCATTTCCCAACAAACAACCTTCCATTTCATCTTTCTCTTTACTCTTACTCTCGCCTGTTAAACTGCTGCTTTCTCCTTATATACTATCTCACAGCACGCTCTCTGATTGATATGTTGAGTCTCTTCACCAATTTTGTTCTTTTTTTTGTTTACCCAATCCCAATAAAATACCCGCTGATTTTTCAGTCTTCATTTCTAATGAAGTGTTTGCCTTCTGGATTAGGGACTGTTCTCAATTCACTTGAAAGTGTACTGAACATTGTAACCAGAAAGACAAAGTACCACTTTATTCAGGAAAATGGGGGGTTGGGGGGCTGGTCAAATGCAGTGGCACATCTGTTGGAAAGGAAGGGAAACTTCAAGCTATTGCCAAGATTAAAAATAGTATGGACATGCCTATTAATTACTAAGGTTAGGACTTTAATTACCCTGTAAGTGGCATTGATCGTGTAACATGCTGTGCCCCCATAAAGTGCAGATTTAAAAAAAAAGTGCATATGATACTACATTCCTGGCAGTAATCTCATCAAGGGTTCATAACAAAGTTCAAATAATTTACAAGTGGTATATAAATCACCTGATGTACTAATGGCTTGATAATTGTGCATAATAATTTGTCTCTATCAGTGTAAACAACATCATTGGATTTTTCATGCTAGAGAACTTCAGTCCATGTAGCAGATATTAGGAATTCGGGTAATCACACAGTTTTCTATCTGCTTAATTGTAAATTTTACCTCAGTGTAAAGGAGCTGTAAAA